GACTCTTCCCATTTGTCCAGTTTTGAGGTACCCCTGGCAGGCCTTCTTATAGGAAGGATAGTTTTCAGAAACTATAATTAGATTTCTACTTCCCCATGGTGCTAACCCTTTAGACAATCCTACATTTTACAGATGTAGAATCCAAAATTTAGTTAAGTGACCTGGCCACAATCACATAGCTTTCAGTGGAGGACCAGGGTTCCAAGTCAGGTTTCAGACACCCAAAGAGGAGATAATGTATCTAACAGTGAGTAACCTGTCAGGATTAATGCCAGTGGGTTCTACCTTGGAGGCTGCTGCGTCATGTCAGCGTTACTTCCCCTGGCCCCTCGTGCACATAGCTAGGTCTGCTGACAGCCACAGCTGTACCCAGCCCAGCCACTGGCATCCACAGACCCTGACCAACTAGACCTCAGGCCTTTACCCAGGCTTCCTTTCCAAGTAACTGATTCTCTTTGGTTTGAGGTGACTTTGTTTTTCAGAGTGCCTCTACCTAATCCTTAAATGGTTTTGTTTCTAGGACTCAGTCTGAGACCCTGTTTTCTTCCGTGATCTCATTCACTCCCATTTCAATTAACATGTCCATGATTCTTAAATTTGTATCTTCAGCCCAGATCTCCAGACTCACATTGTCCTTAAGATGTCTCACACAGATGACAAACTCAACAAATCTCAAACTTATTCTATAACTCACTCCAAATCTTCTTCCCATATAACTCTGATACATTTGAATTTCTATCTCCATCGCCACTATTCACCATCATCTCTCACTCGAGACCACACTGCCTCTCTATCTGGTATCCCTGTATCTACACTGGCTTCCTTTAATCCATTGTCCATTTCCAGAGCTTTCCCAATTCAAATTCTTAGGATGGCTTTCAAAGCCCTGTGTGACTTAATTCCTGCCTCTCTCCAGACACTCACCTCTTGCTCTCCCTGCTTTTAACAGCATTTCCCCTTCTTAATACCTCTCCTCCTTCAGTTCTTGATGTGGATGTTCATCTTCAATGTCTTCCCTACTCCACCTCCCTGGTATACACTCCTATGCTGTCTATGCCCTTCCCCATGACACTCATCCCAAATGTAATCAGCACAATTATTTGTTAGACACTAGATTGTAAGTGCCATGAGGGCAGGCCTGTTTTGTTCTCCTGGCAACTAAAACAGAAATAGCATCCCGGTTTGTTGACTGGATGGCACAGCCATATGGTCCCCACATAGTAAGGCTCAAGAAAAGAATCTCTTTTCTCTTTTTCCACATTTTCCTTTGAGGATTAAGCCCTATTTTGGGAATAGGCCATTCTACCAAGTGAGACAAGTCCTGCTTTCTCTCTCACCTAGGCAAACCCATTCTAGGTAGACTGCATTTCAGTCCAGAGCTGAAGAAAGAAAAAAACAGCTAAAAATGTCACCACCTTAGACCAGGCTAGAGATGACCCCAGAGTAAGTTTACAAAATTGGCTAAATCAAATGATGGATGCCTCCTCATATAAGGGTATGTGTGTGGCAGGGTGGCTTTAGAAAGGTGTGTACTGTTCAGGGTGGAATTAAAGCACTCCGGACTCTTTTTAGTCATCTCACAAAGTACACCCCACACTGCTTTGCCTATTTCTTTCTGTGTTCTGCCAGGCAAAGGTTCCTGGTTCCCCCCTTGCCAGCATCCATCTGTTGATTCAGGCAAGGCTGCCCCTCCCTGACACACAAAGGCGAGATTAGTTGAAGTCAACCATATGGTCAACAATTACTGAAACTACGCATTCCAGCAGGCTTGGCTAGGAAAGCTAATATTTGAAAAGCTGTGGTTTGACAAACTAGGTGAGTTGTGGGGAAACTCTAATTTGTTTTACAAATGGCAATTTGGCCATTGTCAAAGATAGAAACCATAGACGCATATGGCTTATGCCGTACTGTTTTTTCTGTCCCTAATCTGTCCCTTTTCATTGTGTGAAGCTGGAAGGTTCATGTGTTTATTCCAGAGATTCTTAAGTTGAAGATACGGTGTACTTATAGATTATAAATGTTTAATTGAAAAATCATTAGCTTTTAGCCTTGTAACTTACTCAGGCTTGCAGTAGAAAGGTACTGCAGTATAGCACCAGGAGTCTAATGACAAAGTCATCCCAGCATAATTACTGCATATCCTTCCCATGAACAGGATCACTTCTGCCTATGCTGCCCCCTTAAGCAAACTGGAAGAAGGTATGTCCTTTGAGATGCAACCCTACCAAGGTATGTATCTTGGCAAGCTGAGCACAGGCTAGATTTCAGCTCCTACCCATCCCCCTCCCTCAACTTGGTACCTTTGTTTTTCATACAAACTGTACAACTATACATGGTGGTCCTGCCTTTATATATGGATTTTTAAAATATAAATCAGGGATAAAACATTACCAGAAGTCTTATTCAAAACAATATAATTTAATACTTTCACCTATGAGAGATAATGAATGCTGAAATATAGCCTAGATTATAGCAGATTAGATAAAAATACATTATCCTATTTTTTAGAAAAATGATGCAGCACTGGCAAACCAAATGGAAAAAGTGAATATACAGATCTGAGATATCTGAAAACAATTAGTTCCTTGTAAAGATTCATATAATCTATATGTTTATTAAATAATTGCTACTATAACACACATCTGCAACAAATATGAAACTAGGGAACATTATACTAGCTTGAACAGTTTATCTGTTGGTCACATTGATAAATGACTCAAATATTAAAAGTATAGAAATGCTTTATAATAAACAATGCCCAATCAGTACATTCAACAAAAATAGATAATAGTCTCTATTTCTTAAAATAGACTCACTTGTTCATTGGTATTATTTAGCTCTAAAAAGAAGAGCCAAAAAGAAGTCAGGACTAATTATGGAAAGAACTTTGTAGCCAACCATGTAGGTCCTTGACAACTACCATGTGGTATTATAACATGAGAAAAGAATGGTAGAAAGATCTCAGCTTTCTGGAAGTCAACACAAAAGCTGAATGCAACTAGCATTTTTGGATTTTACAGTAGAGAATGGAATTCCTTTTATATTGAAAACAAAATCATGGACTTTGCTCATAGTACTTTTTCTCAAAGATTTAGGCACTTTGCAAGAGGCTGTTGCCAATACAGTAAAAGTAGAATGAAAAATAATTTTACAGTGTAAATATTAAACACAAATCCTCTGATTACATTCAATAAAGAGATGTCTTATATACTTATATAAAACATTTTCATTCTGACAAATACACATTAGCATCATCTTGCTGGAAGTGCAGTTGGGTAGTACCACTATACTTCCATCATGGGACTCCTCCAAGTTTGGTCTAGAGCAGGGGAGGCAAACTCCTAAGCCTGAGAAAGCATTTTAGGCTTTGCAGGCAACATATGGTTTCTGTCACATATTCTTCTTCTCTTTCTTTCTGTTTAAAAAATGCTTTTAAAACATAAAAATAATTCTTATCTTGCAGGCCATGCAACTGCAGACTAGATTTGGCCCATGGGCTATAGTTTGCCAACCCCTGGTCTAGAGTCCTTTGATATAACACATTTTTAATTTTCTCTTAGGCACAGATGATCTCAGAATGAATATTTATAGGGAGCCATATTTATGTTTAAAGATTTATTTAATAAATATGTTTTGCTGCAATCTTAGAGTTAATTATGCAAACTGAGTTTGAAAGTGTTGATCTGCGGATATGACCAGAAAAATTTCAGAAGCTTATGAAAATTTTGTGACTATTTATGTTACCAATGAGTAAATTTATTTATTTATTTCAGAGACAGGGTATTAGTCTGTTGCCCAGCTGAAGTGATGCAATCATAGCTCACTACAGCCTCAAACTCATGGGCTCAAGTGATCCTCCTGTCTCAGACTCCCAAGTATCTAGGAGTGCAGGCATATGTCACTACACCTGGCTAATTTTTTTACTTTTTGTAGGGTGGGTGTATCTTGCTATGTTGCCCAAGCTGGTCTTAAATTCCTAGCCTTGAGGGATTCTCCCACCTTGGCTTCTCAACATGCTGAGATTATAGGTATGAGCCACCACACCTGGCCCACCAATGACTAAATTTAGTTCAAGTATCAACACTGTGCTCTTTAAAGCAATGAGGCAGGTCCTGTTAATAAGAGTTGAAAAGGAACTGTGAGCAGAGCACAGTGTGACGTGTGGTTGGTGGTAAAATATTGACAAATGCGTAACTAAACAAAGTCGGGGGATTTCAGTTTGCAGGACTGTGACTTGGGTTTTAGGGTTTTCTAGTGTGAAATATTTTTGTGATCAATATTTTCCACACTAGCTGCCAATCAAAACATGTAGTAATTTGCAGATGTAGTGATAGATTAAGACCTTGAGAAACAACATTAGAAATTTACAGTGCATTAAAATGGGTGGTCAGTACTGCTTAGCTTTTACTCAAAACGGCTGAATGTGTATCAACAGCAGCAGACATTCTGTAGCTAACAATACTACTTAAATTCTTTAGTGATCTCTCTTCTTAGCAGCACTGATTGCCTATCAGAGAAAGAACTATGCCTTGGTGAAGCTTGTTACCCCTTACAATTTCCACTTTTCTTTCAACAATGTCAAGGTTTCATACTCAAGGCAAAAGTGTATATAGTCCAAAGTCGGAGTCTTATCTTCAGTTTCAATTTTAAGTGGTAAACGAAGCTGACTGGGATGGCAATTTTGGAGAAATGGTTAAGTCCAGTGGCATGTTCACAAAGACCTCAGCAACACCAGCAACTCTCCCTATGTAGCAATTATGTAGTTAGACATTGGAAAAAAAGGGGTGTTTCCTTATTCTTAAAGGAAGTGCAACAGTTTAAAAAAAAGCACTGAAATTTTCCGGTCAGATGGATCATGATCACATGATTCCTTTTTTTTTTTTTTTCATTTTACAGGTTCTTCCATAAAGATGTTTAATGACTTTTAAGCTAATTTTAGTTATTTTCAAATGGTTAGAGTATAGTAAATAAGCTGTAATTACAGACACTGAAAGACAAGAAAAAGTGATCAAACTAATTATATTATAGCATTGATATGATGTGAAACATAAGACAGAGGTAGATCTGCAAATAGCCAAACAGTTGCAAATATCAATTATAACTGGTTCTCTATGAAACATCAGTTTTACGTAAATGCTTCTCTAGTAGCACGGCATAAACCATAGGTTCAAAAGAATGTCATGTTATGTGAACATGGAGTTGGTAAGTAAAATTGTCAAATTTAGCAACAAATTGTTTTCAAGAGCAAAGTAATATGGAACTCACAGGACTCATAAGAAAGCCTTAAACTAAATTATTAGACACTTTTAGGGGCACTGGCTAAATTCAGTATTGGCTGGCATTATAATAAAACTTAATTTTTATAGGCATTTAAAGATTTTCATACATTGTGTACTTGAAGTTTTTGGTCTCTTAATTTTATCTGACTTATACAACTCTTTTCCTTATTATAAGAAAAACCCTCTTAGGGTAAGGAAAGCCCAAATTAATTGTCCTGGAATTCTGCATTATGGGTAAATCATAATATTTGATTTAATTCTGTCAAACCAAATACCACCATTTGGGTTCTCTTCTGTAGATTATTAAAAAAACAAATGTTACTCCTGTTAATCATCAATGTATAAAATATTACAAGGATAAAAAAAGATCAAGTCAGGTGGTGGGGATGTTTCACAAAAGCCCCAAGGTGGTGAGGGGCTAGTACAGTGACCAGTTTAACAACTAGCTTTCACCTAGTTTTCTTTTAGAAAGAAAAAAAAAGTCAAATTGCTATCAATTTTCCAGAGTGAGAATAGGGACACAAGAGCAAATTGTGAAGCAAACTGCTTTCACATCCTCACAAAGTAGTATTTTCTAAAATATAATTTGCTATAGGGCTCAGAGATGAGCACCTTTCATAGCAGGTGATATGCAAACAAACCATTATTTGCACAGCAGGAAACAGGTTTTTTTGTACACTCTAGTTAACAGGAAGTTTTCTAAGAAAAAGGGAATGTGGGTAGGAATCCAACCCTGTAATATCCACCCAGAATCCCAGAAGGAAAAAATAAAGCTATTGAGATAAAGATTTAGCAATATCCTATTGGTCACCAGTGATTTCCATACAGTGTGGCACCGGCACAGATAAAAGTCTTGAGTGTGTTACTTAGTTGCTAAAAAGAAAGCCATGCCTGAGGCACAGCTGACTTGGAAAATTAAAGAGCCTGGCTTTCCTCTCTGCTTTCTGTTTCAACACATCTAAAATGTTTATGTTGAGCTTTCATGCTGTCTGTTCTCACAACAGAAACAAGGGTCTTTGAAGAACTGGCCACAGTCTTACAGGTCACCCTGGGGTACAAATGACTCTCCAGTGAGGTGCTGGACAACTTTATTCAACAGGTGACCACTGGTGGTGGTAGCTGAATGCTTATTCAGCAAATTGCTCTAAATGGCCACAGTATCAGGGTATGCTCTCTGTACCTTTAATCTGACTTCAACACTGTAGAACCTCAGTCTTAAAATATTTAGCAGCATTGTCATGAATGATGTTCCTTTGTTCCTATACTGTGTATAGATTCTTTATGTAGAAGTATATCTGATTGAACAGTACAAAAAGACAATAGTATGAAACAAATGAATTAATTAAAAAAATTAATTAAAAAGTGTACAATGGTTGATAGCCCAGGTAGCTGCAGGTGAAATGTAGCCAGAAGCCAGAATCTTGGGGCAAAGGAAAGAACAGTCTTACAGGCTGTGTGCTGGAACTGTTTTATACCTTCCTAAGGCAGAACCAGAGTTCTCTTAGATTAATGTTTTGGCAAGTGTTTTTCTTGGTGGAGGATCATAAAACTAGATGAAAGGATTGGCCTAATAGCATATTGGCACACTAAGGGAAAGAAAATAGTACTTTGACTAAAACTAAGGCCAGTAGGTTCAGCAAAACAACAAAATATTTTTTGGTTTTAAATTTGTGCCAAGGCTACTTACGGAATACTGGGAAAATGACAGAAACATTTACCACTGTTACATAAGGAAAAAATGATTTTCCTTTTGAAGCTGTAGCTCAGGATTTAATCTTGGGTAATGTTGCCATGTAGTAAAAACAATCTGGATTTTATAATAACTTATAAAGCAGAAAAAAGGTATAAAATGCTAAATAGTACAGCACTACAAATATGGTAATAAATGAGCAAAGGAGTCAAATCAAGTTTTTATGTCAGGCAGGTGTTATGTTTATGAAAAGTGATTTAATCTCTTATGTATTCAAATGCAAATTAGAATTAGCTAACATGAGATTTTACTGCCATTTCTTAGCACCCTAATTTTTGTGGTTCTGGAAGTTACTAGTTACAGCTATTCTCAACCCTTAAATCTATTTCCTTCAAAAAAAAAAAAAAAGAAGGAGCAGGTATTAATAAGCTTGGATCCTGATCCTCTTAGCTATAGTTAATCTGACACACTACCCTGAGCATAACCATGGCCTCTTTGAGAACTGGAAAATACTGCATTAAAAAATCAAAGTATAATGACATTCCCTGATAACTTCAAATAAGTTATGCTAGAAGGATGGAATATAGGTAGTTTAGACCACCAATCATGTTTGTTTAGCGATAAAAAAAAGTGACGACTTAAAGATTTACAAAGATCAAAGGAAACAAAGCAACCACCTTTAGCTGGCTGAAGGTTCAGCGTTCTATAGGTGTCCTCCTGGAGCTTCAGAAAAGTTACAAGATGACCTTGTAGGTTACAGATCACTCTGACTGGCTGTGGCCATACATGGATATACCAGAAACCATCATAAATCCTGGGATGTGACAAGTATAGGACCCAGTGGCAGGTCTGAGCTTGCTGGACACTCTGACTAGCATTGGGACAGATAGTGAAGAACTATACAGAATCTCACAGCTAGCTCTGTTTTTACCTTGGAAAACCATCCATGAGGTTAGTACGAAAACAATATAAATCAAAGCTGACACAGCTGAGTGCTGGCTCACAGCTGACCATCTGGATATAGGGTTTTGCCAGTTCCTAGCTGACCATTTTTATTATTTAATCAAATATTAAGAAAGGTATAATTCACATGCAACCCTTGTCATAAAAGAGAAAAAGGTTAATTTCCTACAACCAGCACAAACTGTTAACCTGTTAAGAAAAGCCCAATTTTTTCAGCATTTGAGTATATACATGTACATCATATCTGTTTCTTTATAAACATCTTAAGGTGAGAGGAGGAAGAGGAGGAGGAGGACAAATGAAATAAAGCCATGAGCTAAATACCCAATAGGCCCCATTCCTCATTCTCTATGTGGCTGGCAGCATTAGTCAGAAAGTCCTTCCTCTGCTGTGATGGTCATGATATATTTAAATGTGTAGATCTTTAGGATTTCCTTATTTATTCTGCCAGGCCTATGGCAGGTATTTTTTTGTTTTCTTGGTGGAATAATTCATTAGTGCTTCCTGAGATGCTCAAACAGGATCACTGGCCAGATTCCGAAGAGAAACTGTTTGGAAATAAGTTAGGAAAAAATGAAAGAAGGTAAAAGTATTCCATGTTATGTTATCCCTGAAAAAGAATGAGAAAGAATCCATGGGGCTGTGACTATAGTGCTTGGTAGGTTTGCTAGCGATTGTCCTGGTATTAGTAGCCTGAGTACAGCATATTCCTTCTAGACTTGTACCAGATCTCAGAGAGTATTTTTATTTAATTTCTTTAAGTGTATTAAACTTCTACTTTGTCAAGGATGGAGGTGGGCATATAAATCATTTCTGTCCCTTACAACAACTCTGCAATGTAGCTACATTAACAATTCCATTTTATTGTTGAAGAAACCAAGGCTTAAAGAGAAGAGACTTATCCAAGAACGTGCAGGAATAAATGGAAGACTCTTGTTCCAAAGTCTGTGCTCACTCCATTTCTTCTCCACACCCCTTTTTCTTCTTCTTTCACCTCTATCTTATCCTCCTGATAACCCCCCTCCCAGCATATAGACACACAGACACACACAGGACCTAGAAAGTGGACTTACCTTCACTTTTGGCCTGTATTTCAGATAAAGTGTTCTTGTATATAAACTGAAAGAAAAGGGGGAAGGGGGAAGCTCTTCAGAATAATTGTTTTTTTTTAAATTAATTAATTAATTAATTTATTTTTGAGACAGAGTCTCACTTTGTTGCCCAGGCTAGAGTGAGTGCCATGGCGTCAGCCTAGCTCACAGCAACCTCAAACTCTTGGGCTCAAGCAATCCTGCTGCCTCAGCCTCCCAAGTAGCTGGGACTACAGGCATGTGCCACCATGCCCAGCTAATTTTTTCTATATGTATTAGTTGGCCAATTAATTTCTTTCTATTTATAGTAGAGACGGGGTCTCGCTCTTGCTCAGGCTAGTTTCGAACTCCTGACCTCGAGCAATCCGCCCGCCTCGGCCTCCCAGACTGCTAGGATTACAGGCGTGAGCCACCGCGCCCGGCCCAGAATAATTTTTAATTCATGCAAACTGACTTAGTGACAAATTTAACCATAGTGCCTCTGTATAGACAAAGAAAAACAACATAAGTATATCCTATATTCATTCATCAACCATTTTTTGAGTACCTACTGGGTGCAAAACACTTGGCAAGATGCTAAGTGAATGATCAACTCATAGACTGTGACCTCAAGATGTCTGTAGTTTAGTAGTGAATATTCTGCTAATTCTTGATATAATTCATATCACAATTAACTTTTCCATTTTTGAAGATATATGGTAGTAAGGATTAAAGTTAGAGTATTTTAGAAATGGGTATATCAGCTCTATAAGGATTAAATACAGGTAGTTTGAGATAACCAGCAAGAAAACAAAGTTTCCCTTGTAGTATCCTTTACAGTCAGTCACCTCTGGAGATGAAATCAAATCATAAAATCAGTGCATATAGCAAAATATAGTTGAATTTATCCCAGAAAAATTCATTAAACTGTCCACATCATATAGCATATAAACTTTCATGTATAGTATACTATTTAAATGTGTTTGAATAGTAATAATATACAATATATCATGCATACATATGCAAAACATAATTTTATAGTACAGGTTGAGCATCCCTAATCTGAAAATCTAAAATACAAAATGCTCCAAAATCTGAAACTTTTTCAGTGTTGACATGATGCCACAAATGGAAAATTCCACATCTGACCTCATGTAATGGGTTACAGTCAAAATACTTATTGAAGGACTAGAGTAGTGTGCATTCATGACAGAATGAGATGTCAGTTTATAAAATCAGAAATACTTCTTTGATTTATAAACCATTGTTGATGGGGCAGATGACTCTGAAGGAAACATTTAAAAAAGCCATCCAGTAGAATGTGTCCTTATCCCTAGGGACTCACTTCCTGGTCCCTCAACTGCTTCTGATGTTATAACCTAAAAAAAATACAGTGTACAATAACCTTTTAATCAAAATACAGCGTTGTAGGTGGAGACTGAAAGCCTGCCATTGTTTGTTTTTGCTGCTGTTGAACAGGTGATACAGGTATTCTGGCGGTGCTACTGTGCTGCACAGATATCCTATACACGTTATTTTTTCACTGTATTAATGGTATATCATATTTTTTTTATGTTAAATACTTATGTGTGAATAAGTATAAGAAAATGATTGCTTATTGGTAGCATATAAATTCAGAATCAAGGATGATGGTGATGTCAAACAATCACAGATTGTCCACATGGGTGGCAAGATAGTGACACCTTTGCTTTCTGATAGTTCAATGTACACAGATTTTGTTGCATGCACAAAATCATTAAAAATATTGTATAAAATTACCTCCAGGCTATGTGGATAAGGTGTATATAAAAGATAAATGAACTTCGTGTTTAGACTTGGGTCCAATCCCCAAGATATCACATTATATATGTGCAAATATTCCAGAATCCAAAAAAAAAATCTGAAATCTGAAACACTTCTGGTCCCAAGCATTTCGGATAAGGGATGCTTAACCTGTATTTTAAACAAGAGAAAGAAAAGGTGAAAAAGCATGAGAGGTAAAGTTGTGTAATTTAATGTGGCTATAATGCCACTTTACTGTACCCAAAATGAACTGTAAAAGGAGCATCAAATATTATTTTATTAAGAATAGTCTATTGTTTTAAAATACAATCTTGATTTAACAGTTTTTCAGCTGTTAATCTCTGAAATAAAGTTGCAACCTTTTTCTTTCTCTTCAGGAAAGAATCGTGAACTGGGGCAGAGATGCCCAGGATTCAATCCTTGCTGTTACCTCTACCACTCCCAACTGTTTAAGTACCTACAATGCGGGGAGAGGCATTGGACCAAGACACATTTCATTCTTAAATTATTCTGAGTACATGGGTATTACTATTCTTGTTTTGCATATAAGAAATGGTCTCAGTAAGGTCAAACATTTAATTCAAGGTACCAAAGCTAGTAAATAATAGAATCAGGATTTGAATTCAGGTTCTGTTTAACTGTTAGCCAATATATTGTACTCTACTTAACTAGCCAGTAACCCTGGGTAAGTCACTTCTCTCTGGGCCCCAGTTAACTTCACCATCAAATGAAGAAGTTATGTTAGATAATTTCTAAGGCTTCATGGGAGTCTGTCCCTGGGCGCAAATCCAAGTGCTAATACTAACTGGCCATGAGATCATGTATGAGGTACTTGACTTCTCTGAGCTTGTTTTTCCTCAAGTATAAAATAATACTTGCCTCACGGGACTGTCATGAAGACTATGAGCTTAAAATTCAAACTTTTTATTATGAGAAATTTCAAACATAAACAGAAGTATCCATCACATAAAGTTGTTAAAAATATTGTTTTATCTTTTTATATTTGCAGCATCTATAGTGATGTTTCCTTTTACATTTCTGATGCTGGTTATTTATGCTTTTCCTCTTTTCTTTTAGTTTAGTCATACCAGTTATTAAGTTACTGTATCTCAGTTCCAAATCTAACCTTTTTAAATAACAGCTTTTATTTTGAGGTACAATTGATATACAAAAAATTGCACATACTTAATGTATATGATTTGATGAGTTTGGACTTATGGATATGCTCATGAAATCATCACCACAGTCAAGATAATAAACATATCCATCAATTTCAAAAGATTCCTCATGCCCCCCCCTCTTATTTTTGTGGTACACTTGAGATCTACAACAAAATTTTTAAGTGCGTAGTACAGTATTGGCATCTGTAGGCACTAGGTTGTACAGCAAGTCTCTAAAATGTATTCATCTTGCATAACTGAAATTTTATATTAATTGAATAATTTATTTTCTCCGTTTAGATAATTCAGGTTGCATGAATAGTTAATCTCCAGATAGATGAGATGCAAATGTTATTATGGGAGATATTTTTAAAATTCACCTGAGTAAATTTTCACATTTGTTCAAAGGAAAATTTTCTTTCCCTTTCCACAAATATCTCATCTTTTTCAATTCCTGAGAAGAATTTGAGGTTAAACACAGCCTGATCCACTGGTAAAGAGATCAATATGTATACATTCACTCATTAAATCATTTAACAATATATACTGAGTGCTTACTATGTTCCAGGCACTGTTCTAAGCATTTGGTAGCAGTGAAAAAGGTAAAGTCCCTGCTCTCAAGGAACTTACAGTATAGTTGGGGGAGGTAAACAAGTAAAAAAATACGTATGTGGTTATAAATATTTTGAAGAAAAATAAGGCCTGGTAAGGGGAGAGACAGTGATATTAGCTGGATGGGGTGATCAGAGCTGTGAGTCTGCTTTTACTATAAATGGCTGACTTCCCACAGACTTTTTTATAGGGGAAGAGGAAGGAGGGAGGAGATAAGTAGCAACCAATTTATTTTAGGGGAAGGAGACTGATTAAGCTAGGTACTTCAGGCACTCGAACTTTCATAGTTCCTTATGCAGGGAATCTGCCTGCTGTTCTTTTTTTCTTCTTCTAAATTTGTTCTTTTTTTTTTTTTTTGAGATAGAGTCTTGCTTTGTTGCCCAGGCTAGAGTGAGTGCCATGGTGTCAGCCTAGCTCAAAGCAACCTCAAACTCCTAGGCTCAGGCAATCCTCCTGCCTCAGCCTCCCGAGTAGCTGGGACTACAGGCATTCGCCACCATGCCCGGCTAATTTTTTCTATATCTATTAGTTGGCCAATTAATTTCTTTCTATTTATAGTAGAGACGGGGTCTCGCTCTTGCTCAGGCTGGTTTCGAACTCCTGACCTTAAGCAATCTGCCCGCCTCAGCCTCCCAGAGTGCTAGGATTACAAGCGTGAGCCACCACGCCCGGCCCAAATTTGTTCTTTATAAACAGAGATATGCTGATTAACAAGAAACTGGAAATATTTATATCCTACCTGCACTAAAAAAGGAGACGAATGATCTACTTAGAATATAATACAGATCATGTGTTAGAGGTCAATTAGTAACTGCCTTACTTTAAGGATGACAAAACTGAGTTTCATAGATGGTGAGGGACTTGCTTAAGGTTACTCGGTGGTAGACACAAAGCTGGAACGTAAGTTTCTGATTCTGACATTTTATATTTATACTGTCCTATATGCAGCGAAACAAAAAACAAAACAAAACAAAAAAACCCCACAAAAAACTACAATACTAGGCTAAAACAGTCACTATTTCCTACCTGAAAAGGATGTGAAGGTAAGAACCAAGGCCAGTTAAAATATGCCACCATGCATGAAATTGTGTGGTAACACCTATGATAGGTGGCAACTTTTTTCGCAAATTCCTGTGTAGAGAAGGGGAAAAAAAATCACCACATTAAATCTTTAAAATGTTTAGCAACTAATGCCGACAGTCTTAGAGCATTTTGAAATATTTAATATCATTCTCAAATATGGAAATTATTTAATTTCCTGGAGTCTCCTTAGTCTGACATATTGTTTTTCAAAGTGTATTTTGAGGAATAATATTCCTGGTAGAAGTTCCATGAAAAATGAGGCTAGTCAAATAAATGTGGGAAACATTATATGATTTACCACCCTTTGGGGGATTTTTAAAATGCATATTAACACATTAAAGGCTCTGAAAAGTCTGACCTTCAAGAGTTATCTTTAGTTTTTCAGGTAACCTACCTACTAATCCATGGAACCCCGCTTTCAGGTAATACTTAGGAACACTTATTGGAACAAGTGTTTTCTGGAATACACTTTGTGAAACACTAGTCTAGTTAGCTATCCACTCAAGAAACTGGATACATGCTTTTCCTATGTCCTACAGTCATCATCTTAGTACAGTAACATACATTCTATAAAGTCCTTTTATATTTATTATTTCACTTCATAGTCAGGGATTCTTTGGGGAGGTGATTATTAGCTTTGCTTTACAGATTGGGGGAACCTAAAATTCAAAGAGATTAATTGAGTTGCCCAAGTCACTCAACTAGTGCCACAGCTGAGTCTCAAATTCTGGATCTTTTGATGAAATGTATACTATAGTAACATTTATTAGAGGAGAAAAACAAGTGTGAAACACCAAATTATTTTTCTAGACAACCCCACATATTTTTGAGATAATTACTTCCTCTAAGAGCCTACTTTTATTTATGGAAGGACTTTCTAAAGCCTTTAATCTGTTAATATGCATTAAAAATCTCCAAGAGGGCAATAAATTACATAATGTTTCCAATATTTATTTGACTACAGAGTCATTTCTTCATGGACATTTTGCTAGGAATACTATTCCTTGAAACATACTTTGGAAAACAATATGGCAGGGGATGATGAGCAGTGTAAAAGCTCCAATGGGGGGGTTCTGCTGGGTATTCCTTGATCCATAACCACTCACCTAGATCTTAGTTTTATAAGCAAGGTGTATTACTTGTTTAAAATTAAAGTCCACATTAACTTATTTAACTTTTTACTATGGAAAATTTCAAATATGTATAAAAGTAGACAAAATAATAATGTGTTCATTACCCAACTTCAACAATTAATTTATGGTCAATCTGTATCACCTAAACCCTTATCCACTTCTCCCTCTCATGTTATTTTGAAGAAATGCCAGATATTGTATCATTTTAATCTCTAAATATTTTAGTATGTATCTCTAAAAGATGAAAACCTCCTTAAAACATAACCATGATACCATTTTAATACCTAGAAATATCAATAATAATCCCTTAATATCATTAAATATTTAATTACTGATCAACAGTCCAAATTTCTCCTAATTATTTTTTATAGTTGGTTTGTTTGAATCAGGATTCAAAAAGGCCAATACACTGTATTTGGTTGATATATCTCTTAAGTCTCTTAATCTATATATTCTTGCTCCCTCTTTTTTTCCCCCTCTACCATTTATTAGCTGAAGGGACCAGATCACTTATCCTGTAGATTTCCTGCAGTCTGAATTTTGCTGATTGTCTCCCTGTGGTTTTGTTCAATATATTCCTCTGTCCTGAGTTTTGTTTACGCAAAATTGTTAGGTCACAGAATTTTGAGCTGGAAGGACCCACTAGTTTAATCTATTTAACATGCTCATTTTATGGATATTGAGGCCCAGAAAGATAGTGTCTTAGTAAGAGACTAGAATCCAGAGACCTAGATTCAAACTCCTGTCAATACATAATTGCTAGTAAAAGGAACACTTATCTTTTTAAGAAAATAACATTAGGCATATGAAAAAGTGCAAATTTATATACATGTATTTTATGTGCTTATTATAAATCATTCTTATTTATTCAGTAAAGCAAATTAGGCAGGTTTCAAAGATGTAGTCAACATTTGAATAACTGGAGTGCTTCCAAAATATTTCTCAAGGAATGAAAATACATCTTACCTCAGTGAATCACAAAAGATGTTATCTATATTCCATAAGAAAAATCCTAATAAAAATATACCCAAAGATGTATAACCCAGTCCTCTAAGCCATGGATAAACCCTGTGGGGGAAAATAAGAAAAGCAAAATAAAATTTTCTCAAGTCATGTCATGATCAGAGATTAAAGTCATCTCTTTCTTTTTTCTTTCTTCTCTCTTCTCTCTCTTTGCTCCTCCTCTCTCTCTTCTCTTCTCTCCCCTCCCTCCCTCCCTCCCTCCCTCCCCTCCTCCCTCCCCTCCCCTCCCTCCCCTCCTTCTCTCTCCTCTCCTTCCTTCTTCCTTCCTCTCTCTCCTCTCTCCTCCTCTCTCTCCTCTCCTTTCTGGGGGCTTTGGTGCGGGTTTGAGTACAGTGGCTGTTCACAGTGTGATCATAGCACACTACAGCCTTGAATTTCTGGTGCTCAAGTGATCCTCCTAAGTAGCTGGACTACAGGTGCATAGTACTGCGCCTGGCTAAAAGTCATCACTTTCATGAGAAGGAAAGGTTTTTGTTACTATTAAAAGCAAACCTGGGCAGGGTCTGGGGAAGGGGCAGCAGCGCCATGCCTGGCTGTGAAGGTGGCAAGAAAGAGCCCCTGAAGCAGCCCAAGAAGCAGGCCAAGGAGTTGGATGAGGAAGATAAAGCATTCAAGCAGAAACAAAAAGAGGAGCAGAAACTTGAGGAACTAAAATTGAAGGCCATGGGGAAAGGCCCCCTGGCCACAGGTAGAATTAAGAAATCTGACAAAAAGTAAGCTGTTCTTTGTGCCTGAGTAAATGACCCTTGATTCCTATTTAAACATCTATATTCCCTGCCATAACATTTTTTGCCATCTATAGCTAAAATGAAGTATTGTTTTGGAGTCTATTGTACGTTTAAGAATAAACTTTTGTAAAAAAATGTAGTAATAAGAAAAGCAAACCTATCTATTAATCTCTCTAATACATTTGCCTACTATATTTAGCCACTTAAAGGTACTAGGAGAGAATGGGCCAGCAAGACTGCCAAGTATATCAGGAAGGTAATCTGAAAGTGCCCAACAACTTTTTCAGTCCCATAGAAGAGGGTGGGGGGATAAGTTAAAATTAACACGATTGAGTCACATGCTCCACGTCAGACACTGTAGTTAAAAGAAACAAACACACATTCATTCATTAAATCACTTAATAATATATGCTGAGTGCTTACTATGTGCCAAGCATTGTTCTAAGCATTTGGGAAGGTACCAATGAATAATATAAAGTCCTTGTTCTCAAAAAACTTACAGGATAGTTGGGGGAGGTAAACAAGTAAATACATAACTGGTTATATATACCTTGAAGAAAAATAAGGCCTGGAAAGGGGTGAGTGATATGGAGGTATTATGTGGATAGGGTGTGCATGCACACACACACACAACACACACACAAAATCTTCAAATAAACCCTGTGAGGCAAATATTACTATTTCTACTTCACTGCTGAGAAAAATTGAAGCTTGGTGAGTTACCAAAGATAACAGCAACTTATTTATTTTTTATAGCTTCAATGAGGTATAACTAACTTACATTAAACTGCATTTATTTATTTACTTATTTTGTAGAGACAGGGTCTTACTCCGTTGCCCAGGCTGGAGTGCAGTGGCATGATCACAGCTCACTGAAGCCTCAAACTCCTGTGCTTGTGGTGATCCTTATGTCTCATCCTCCTGAGTAGCTGGGACTACAGGCACATATAACCACGCCCAGCTAATTTTTCTTATTTTTTTGTCAATACCCTAGAGAAGGGGTATTGATGTTGACCAGGCTGATCTCAAACTCTCAGCCTTAAGCAATCCTCCCATCTCAGCCTCCCAGAGTGCTGGGATTATAGGCATGAGCCACTGCACCCAGCCAAACTGCATATATTTAAATTGTACATTTCATGAATACATCTGTATATACCTATGAAACCACGACCACAATCAAAGTAATAAATATATCTATCACCTCCAAAAGATTAGTTTACATTTTTTTAGAATGTTACATAAATGGGATCATACAACATATATCCTTTATTGTATGGCTTCTTTCACTTGGTGTAATTATTTTGAGATTCATCCATGTTGCTTCATTTCCTTTTATTGTTGAGTAGTACCTCATTGTATGGAGATAGTACATTTTGTTTATCTGTCCAAATGCTGGTGGACATTTGTGTTGTTTCCAGTTTTTGACTATTAGAAATAAAGCAGCTATGAACTTTCATAACTAACACTTTGTATGGACATATGCTCTTATTTCTCTTGGGTAAATAGCTAGAAGATGAATGGTTACGTTGTATGGCAGGTGAATATTTAACTTTTTAAAGATACTGCTAAACTATTTTCCTAAGTGACGGTACCATTTTACATTCCTACCAGCTGTATATGAGTGTTCCAAATGTTCGTTATCCTCATCAACACTTGGTATAATGTCAGTCTTTTTTATTTTAGCCATTCTGGTAGGTGTGTAGTGGTATCTCATTGTGGTTTAATTTGGATTTCCCTAATGACTGGTATTGAGCATCTTTTCATGTGCTTACTATCCATATTATTTTCTTTGATATAGTATGTTTACCACCTTATTTAGTTATACGAATTCTTTATATACTCTATATGTAAATCCTTTGTTGGATGTATATTTTGGAAATATTTTCTCCAAGTCTGTGACTTGCCTTTCTCTGAATGTTGTCTATTGAAGATTTTTTTTGTGTGTGTATGTGTGACAAGAGTCTCACTCTGTCACCCTGAGTAGAGTGAAATGGCATCATTGTAGTTCACTGCAACCTCAAAATCCTGAGTTCAAGGGATCCTCCTGCCTTAACCTCCTGAAGAACTGGGACTACAGGCATATACCACAATGCCCAGCTAATTTTTCTATTTTGAGTAGAGATGGGGTCTCATTCTTGCTCAGGCTGGTCTTGAATTCCTGAGCTCAAGCAATCCTCCCACCTTGGCCTCCCAGAGTGCTAGGATTACAGGTGTGAGCTACCATGCCTGGCAGAAGAACAAAAGTTTTTTATTTTGATAAAGCTCAATTTATCTATTTTCTTTCTTTATCGTGTGTGCCTTTGTGTACTGATTAATAAATCTTTGCCTAGCCAAAGGTCACAAAGACTTCTCCTATATTTTGTTCTAGAAGTTTTATAATTTTAGCTTTTACATTTAGGGATATGACTAACTTCTATTACATTTTTACAATGGTATTAGGTTGAAGTTCATTTTTTTTCATAAGAATATTCAGTTGTTTCAGAACAATTTGTTGAAAAGATTATCTTTTGCCCACTGAACTACTTTGGCACATTTATTGAAAATCAGGTCAGTATCAGTGTATGGGTCTATTTTGGGATGTTCTATTGATCTGTATGTCATTCTTACCACCAATACAACATTGTCTTAATTAGTATAGCATAGGGTAAATCAAGTAGTGTAATTCCTTTAACTTTGTTCTTTTTTTTTTCAAAACTGTGTTTTTGGGTTTTTTTGGCTACTATAGATTCTTTGTATCCCTATGTTAGTGTCAGAATTAGTTTCTCAATTTTTATCAACAAGCCTGCAGAGATTTTGATTGTTATTGTACTGAACCTACAAATCAGTTTGGAAGAATTGTCATCTTAACAATATTGAGTTTTCTAATCCATAAAATGGTATATATCTCCATTTATTTAGGTCTTCAATATATCTTAGCAAAAGATACTACTGTATATTGTAGTTTTAACAGTATGATTTTTATATATATTTGTTAAATTTAGTCCCTAAACATTTTGGGGTTTTTTTTGGATGTTATTATAAACTATACTTTAAAATTTTTTTCTAATTGTTCACTGCTAATATGGAGAAATAAGATTTTTAAAATACTGCATAGAATCTTGTGACCCTGCTAAATTTCACTGTTTCTAGTTTTTTTTGTATATGTTCTGTTACATTTTCTGTACATGATCATATTACAATCCAAATATCATGTGTGATATGACTTCTACCAGTATAATGTTAAATAGAAATGGTGAGTGTGATAGTATATATACTAGTTTTACTCTTGATTTTAAAGGGAATTTTAAAAATATAGCATGACTAAGTGTGTTATATGCTACAGAGTTTATAGGTTAAGAAAGTTCCTATATATTACCAGTTGGTAAAGGTTTTTTTTTTTTTTTTTTAAGGTCATAAATAAGTGTTGAATTTTACAGAATGCTTTCTCTAAATCTTGACTTCATCATGTAGTTTTTCCTCCTTTATTTTTTAAATATGGTAGACAGCAATAATATTTTCAAATATTTTGTTATTTAACTATAAGTATTTGCATATAAATGAACATAAAAGGTGACTAATTTAAAAATCATCAGCAAAGCACAAACCTGGCAATGTATGGAAAGGGCATTGTTATCACTGTTTGATAAAGGTTCTCAAGAGAAGATAAGCTTAAAAGAGTCATAGTCTGGCTTCAGCTATTCAGAGAGTTTATCACGGTCCCCATTTGGGGAGGGCAAGAATGAGTCCCAGGAAACAGGGCTCAATACAGTGAAGACAACTGGTAGTGTGGTCCAGGTCCTGAAATATGACAGCAATATGATCAGTGGGAATGGGGTGCTGTGTGTTTTCTGCTTCTAAACTTACCATGGCCAATCTTCAGCTCTCAGGAGGAGTTCAAAACAAAATTCTTCTGTGGGGTGAAATGAATGTCTTTGATTATCCAGGTAGCAAGGCACGAAGAAGAGAGCAATAACATCAGCACATGGTCCATGCAAGCTAAGTACTGATAAGATTCTGAGGACCTACTAGCCGTTTATTATCAGGTGCAAAAGTATATAATACAGAAGGCCCTCAACATATCTCTGTCTGTAGTCACACTGCTTCATTGTGGACTGGCTGCCTGTCTAGTGTACAGCTGTCATCCCTTCCCTTCACCTTGGAATGGCCTTCACCTGTCTCCTGTATAGGATCTCCTGTTTTGTATCATATGCATTCTTCCTTTTTGTGTTACTCTCTCATCTTGGTGAAATACCCTTCAACAGGTTGCTAAGCAATAGTTTATGGGATATAAGGTTTGTTTTTTTGAGAAACTAAATGTATGAAAATATATTTTTCTCC